TTGTAGAGCAATCAGAACGGGAGGTGCGAGCTATCAGTCGTTTTCAAAATTCTGTACGGAGCACATTAAACTGTTGCATGTTGACTGTTTCGTTAATCGATATTTATATTATTTGCAACGTGATGAAACTCCCCGGAATGAGTGTTGAAGGAATTATCAATTATTGTTCCTCAGCGTTAAAGCATAGTGTGATGAAATATTTGTTATTTGATTGTTCCACTTATGATATTTATTTTGTTGAGTACAAATGTTACAGTGCGAATGGCAAGAAGAAATTTGACATATAAGGAGAAGGCGTCGGTAACAGCCGTCTTGCAAGAAGATCCACCTTTTATACAAAAAATTAAGGAGAAATTAGGCTACAAGCCACCGCCAACAATTGAAAATAAAGTTGTTCTTCATTAACTTTGATTTTCTACAATTAAATCTACATCATATATATTGAAAATATTTTCTATTTATTTTTTACGCAGTGCAACAAAAACAGAATTTTAAAAAAAAAGAACGAATTCTAAAAAATAAAGTGTATTCACTAATAAATTCAACCTACTGTTTAGTCAAAAACTAAAATTGTGTTTGAAAAGCTTACTACTATTTTTATAGTTTTCAACGACTGCAGGTGAAGGATATATTGAGAATGATCTCGACGACGATGATTTGTCACGAATGAATCAAGAAGACAGACCTCAGGTAAGATTTGCTTGTCTTTATCTTTGTAGAAAAATTTTTCTGGATGAAATTGATCCATTTAGATTGTTATTTTGGATGCTCAGAGAGATCTGAACGAGGAGGAACTGGAAGCTGAATTGGACAAAAGATGCTCTGAAGAAGATCGTAAGTTATTTTAGTGGATTTTTCTCACATTTTTTATAATGTAAAACATATTTTGGATTCAACAGAAAATTTCTTGAGATATAGAGAAAGAGTTATTTTTCAGATATCTTACTGTAACGTGGTACATTATTATAAGTTGAAATTAGGATGGAAAGGAAAGGAAAAAAATTCATGTTTGGTTGCTGTGAGTGCTTGCAGTGGCTTATTTTAGATTTTAGACTGACATGTTTTTATAGAGCGAAAAATTGAAGAAGGGAAGATAATTTTCAAAAAGCCCGTGAAACGAAAAGATCAGCACTCTGAGGAAGAAACAGCTGAGAAACGAAGGTATAAAGAAGAAGTGAAGGAAGTAACCACGTCAAATTCAAGATTATTATCGTTTAATGATGAAGAAGATAATGACTGACAGAGTATTCATATGAGTTTGGAATTGTAGGAAATTTGCAAATAACTATTTTGTTTGATTGGCTCTTGTCATTGTTTTGGTAATTCTTCTCAGTGATCTCACTTCAGGATTATCCATAGTTACTAATTCATTTCTCCGTTATAAGTTTATTTTGACTTTAAGTCAATGGCGAAATTACTGAACCATAATTGGAATATCTGGAATTTAAAACAAAATCAAACTCGATTTCTGTATAACATATTTAATAATTTATCTACATAAATTATAATACAAATAAAATGTTTATATAATTCATTTAAGAAAGGAAGAATTTGGATCTTACATTCCAATACAAATGATATAATGAGATTTAAAGTGCTAATTGAAGCTTGTTTGCTGTTCTCATCAGAAATCGGTTTACACCGATTACATCGATGTTTTATGCAAATATAATTCAGAGATTTGAAAAAAAAAAGTCTTAAATCCAAAATGTTCTGAATATAGAATCCCTATAAGCATGACAAAATTAAAATGACTAGCCTACAAGAGGTTATCTATATTGTTTCGTTCTGAATACATTTGGTAGTTTATTAGTTAGTTTGAAATTGTAGATTTGAATGTGAGTTGTTGAAGTTACATCAAACGGTTGTAAAATTGCAATTATCTTGTTCAAGACGTAATATTAAAGGCATAATATAATTCATTCAGCGATTTAAAATATTTTTCTCACTGTTATAGTCATATATATTCCACTTTATTTGTTCTTTTACTTTTTTTATTAATTTGTCTTACAGCACATCAGCCTTATCGACGTTTCCAATTAATGAAGCACCTGCTGTTCCATAGTAAACTAGGATTCCAGAAATAAAATTTTCATTGAAGAAAATATTTTTTCTTTAAGACTTTGAAGTATTTTTCCATTGATTTTGCAATGGGAATATCGATCTTTTTCGTAGATCTAAATTGAGATATACTGATAAAATCTAGAGTTAGTAAATTATTTTTGCGTTTTTTAACAGATACGAGTGTCCAGTTACATGCTTTTCCCGCTTATTTCTCTTATAAATATATTCTTTTCAACTGGAATGTTGGTAAATATTTCAGTAAGAATGTTAAGATCATTTGTCACGCTCACACTGAAAAAGTTACTCCTCGATCTCTTATTCTTACCTTCTTGCTTCGGATATTTACAGTCACAGAGCAATTTTAATTCTATACCCAGCATTGTTGTTAAGGCATGCTCCTTTCGATCATAATGTTTATATGTAGCGTTAATACTTTTTAGTTTTCTTGGAAGCTTAATGCTCTACAAAATGTTGGATGTTCGGAACATATGTAGTATTTTTATCATGTGCAATGGTGATTGATATTTACCGCAGAATCTTCCTTTAATGGTTTCAGGGAGAGAGAATGTTAATGGAAATTATTTATTATTTCTTGTAAGAGGATATTTATAACTATTAAAACAAAGATTTAATATAAAGCAGTTCAGTAAAGCGTTGATTGAAAACGATTATCACAGTTGGCTGCAGTATGTATTGCAGAAAGCCTTCTTTCCCACTTCATCAGTTGAATTTTTTTCATTCAATTCTTGGTGGTTAACGATTCGAATGCTCCCATCTTTTCTTCATATAAACTTTTTCCGTATCTGATGCGTTTTTCCTGGAATCATTGAAAATTTCAGTAAATTAGTCGAAGAAATTCAAAACTGAGCGGGAGTACTAAACTTCTTTTATAACTTTTGCAGTGAAGTTCAGCAAACTAAAAGATTCCCATTCTTGTAAATTTGAAAACCTAGGCTAGAATGATCTGAAATAATTCCACAAGTTATGAATGTCGAAAAAATACTATTGTTAAGTACTTAAATCAAAAATAACATTACATCATGTACTATTCTTCAAAGATAATATTTCAATGATAACTTTCTGCCATTTTCTTTTCTCAAATTTTCTTTTATTCGGTTTTTTTTTAAATCCCGCTATCTTTTCTCAAAAATTTTGACTTCTTCCATTTTACAACGCTATCTCACATATCCACCTTTTTGCTTTTTATAATCAGTTCGCATGGCTTTTTATTTTTCCTGTTCATCTATCAAGATGTTGCTAATAAACAAATTTATATCAAATAAATTTTGAAATTAAACATGTTCAGGGGATTTTGATAAGTGCAAAAAAACTTCACTTACATATTTACTCTTTTGATAAAGTATGGTGCCAACGAGTAACACAGTGATAAAGCAAATAACCACAACGGTAGCAGCTGTTGCATATAGCTTTTGTCTTGATCGCCTTATCGGTCTACCAATTCCCAATACAGTTTCTTCATTTTGATTTTCGACATCAACATGACGAATCAACCGACAGTACTGTAGATTTGCTGGTGTTCGAAAATATGGACATGCCTGAAATTTTTGATAATGTGAAAATTCCAAAGATCTTATTAAGAATTATACAAAACTATGATCAATAGAACTAATCAATACTTTATTACCACTAATAATCTGCTAATCTAGAATAACACTCTCCTATTTTTATTTTTATTATTCAATTTTTCAGCTCGCTGATCTCTTTTCACTTTATCATAGTTCCAGGACCAATTTTTTTGCTTTCAAGGAATTTAAAGAAATGGAAATTACCATCGATGGACAGTAATATGAATCCTGAGAAAGTACAGCTGATGAAAGATTATAGGTAGGTCCAGTCATCAACCGATTCCATAACCATTTTGTAGCATAAGTATGTCCTTTTCGATTCAGAAGTGGACGATTTGGAATAAATAAAGAGGATGGATAGCGAGATGTAATCGTTAACATTGGTAATGCTAGAAGACCAAATTTTCGTCGCTAAAAATAAAAATGAGAACCTAAATTCTGAATTTCAATTAATTCCATTTGAAATAACTCTTTATTGAAAGCACAATTAAAGGAATCATTAGTCAAGAATTGAAATTCAAGAATTGAAATAAGTTCTTTCTCCATATTATTTGGAATTCGATTTCTAATCTTAGCAGTCTATCACTTATTATTAAATAACTATTTTCACCTTCACAAACGGCTGTTCAAAGTGGGCCTGTAATCGAGCAAATGCCTTCGTCCACTCTCTACTTATTTCATTCATGAATTCGTCTGATTTCTTCTTGGAACAAGCACAACGAGATCTGGAATTGTATATCGTTCATCTAGTAAAAATATTCGTTAATCCTAAATCAAATAAACAAAAAATATCTAAAGTTAGATAAATGATAAACTGGAATAAATATACTTGAGTAAGTTAGAATCGCGTTGATAGGAGGATGAGACATGGACAGGTCCAACAAGTATGACAAGCGCATTTTGGATACCTTTATTCAGAATAAGAAGTGATTCTAGCAGAGCACTGTAATCAGGAGTCTGACAAACTTTACAGACCTGTAGCGAAAAATGAATGGGTAAAAAAATCAAATTGATTTGCAAGTAGATCGAAAGCTTTCTTATATAAGACTGTATACTTCTCTTTATATCCTAATTAAAATTCCAAATATGACAGATATTGCCAGTTAAATTAATTAATCTTTGACAGATGATTAAGAGATAGTTTTACCTCATCGGTACCAATAGTGATAATGATCATTATCCACTCATTGTTAACATCCACTTCGCGTAATGCCTTAAGCCTTTTGAACAATTCTTTTGCCTAAAGATAGAATTCAAAATTCTCGAAGAATACCCATAAGAAATCAAGAAGTCATGATGGATGACTCGATAATCATAGATATACAATCTAACTACAATATAACTCAAGAATTGTCGGGAAACTCGAAATTTAATGATTTCGTTCATAAATAGAGATTTGTATAATTGACATTTAGATAAGAGGAAATTTATCAATACAATTTTTAGTCGTATTTAATTTTTGTTACATAACATTGTTTTGCTTTATAGTGGTATACCATTTAGTGTTGTCTACCAACATTTCCCGCCGTTTATGATCTCTCTCTCTCTCTCTCTTTCTTTCACACATTTATGATCTCTCTCTCTCTCTTTTAACAATGAATATAGCTACAAATGAATGCTCCTCCATCGATTTTCTTTGTTTAGTCTTGTGTATAATATTGTTAAACCATGGCATTATCGATTATATATTCATCATGTACTGATCACCCCAATAAGGGATATCCATCAATTTTGTCTCAGTGTCACTTACTCTACATTATATATATATATATATAATGTTGGATAGAACAGTCTCCATTTTGAAGTGTGCTCCTCCCAAAGAGTGACGATAAGCGGGTGCGGTCTCATATTGATATTACATCATGCTTACCATACAGCAAAGCTCGTTTAGCTTTCTTGCAACTTATCGAGCAACAATATTCGTTAAGACTGTATCAATCGCTTATAGTGCCAATTTCTAGCTAATAAACACTTCGATTCCGTTTGTCGCAATACAACTATCATCTCTTCCTATATGACAAAAACTTTCGCGACAAGGACAGGTTAAATTTTCATCAGAATGCAAATCAATCAACAACCTGTAAAGGTAAACTGGACGAAGAAGCATCACTTTCAGCAACATTTAATTGGTGATAAGGTAGCTGAAATTTTGTACCCATACCGTGTGATACACCAACCAATTTATCATTAAATTCACGCAGAATGTCTGAAATATTCGAAATTAATTGCAAAGATCACCATAATTTAACTACAAAATTCTGTAATCAGTAATAATCAAATAAAAATTGAAGTAAATGAGTACACAGTTCAAATGCAAGTTTTTTTAATTCAAAAAAGAGGAAAATAAATACTGAAAACATATACTGGCAATGGTAACAAATCCATCAATGGTTGCATCACCACCAATTGGGAATGCGGCTCCACGAAACTCGATGTCCGTTTGAGGCCATAATCCTGTTCCGGTCTAGAAAAAAAGCCACATTTCCATTCAAATCAATCGTTCACAACAGTTAACTGNCAGTTAACTGCCACTTTACCACTTTATGTTACCCTGTACCGAAATATATGTGGTTTTGTTCAAAAAAAAGGAGGAAATTAATCAAATTCTTTCTAAGCAACAATTTCAAATTGATCTTGAAATTTCAGGATGACCAATTTATAATTAGACACTTTAAGATATTGTTGAATTCCCGAAATATTTAATATTCAACGATCGAAAAAATCCATTCAGCGCTATTTTACACTGATTTTATATGCGATAAATCTAACTCCTTAACATATCGATTTCAGGATAAATTTATGATTTACTAATTAACTTCTAACTGTTAATTATGTAGAATAGGAAAGAGGAGCATACGGCAAGGGAATCACCCATTGCGGCAATGATTCCGATATCCTCCGGACTCAGATCACCCGTATCGGTACCGGTTACGAAATCATTTTTGATTTTTGGACAACTGAATGTTTTCCTACTAATGAACGAATTATGGATAATAGAAATAGCACCATTTTGCGCTTCTTCTGAATCGATCGGACCGTAAAGTTGTGATGGAGGTAAATTGAAGTTGGTTTCATTATCCCTACAACTTCATTCATATACAAACTTTCTTCCGCATGCAATGAATTATTAAGAGAAAAGAATGTCATTGAGGAATCTGGCGATAAAGAGATATTTCAACAGATTTACAGTCATAAAAGTAAACAGTAATAGAGTTATAAAAACAAACAAAACAGAGAATAAATGGCTTTTTGATTTTAACAGTTAAATATCTAATACATTTTACGGAAAAAAAATGAATGCCTACATGGTATCATTTGCATTATTGATGACCTTGACCTTTTTCTGCACGATTAATTAGGAGATAAAGGAAGAGATAAAACGTGAAGCGTGACGTACATTTCTTCGCTTAGATTATCGCTACTTTGATTAATCTCTGCCTCCTTCTCCTCTTCATCATCCTCTTGTGAGCTAACTTCTTCAACATGAACATCATCTTCTATCTTACTCTCCTTGAAATGCTTTTCAAATTGTTTCATTTCTAAAACACAATCCTATTTTTAATTATAACATTTGTGCTACGTCACCTAGGTGTTTTTTTTTACAACAAACAATTTACGTAATATTTGACGTAGATACTGTTTCTGCAATTCTTGCAAATATAAAAATGGTAAAAACGAATAAGTGAAGATAGCAAAATGGAACGATACTCACGTTTTTCATAGGTTGGAATTAATTTTGATGTATCATCGAGATAATCTTTTGTAAAATTTTTAATCTAAAATTATTTAAATAATAATATTTCCCATTTAAAACTCTAAAATTAAGAATTACCATATTTTTTGTGAAATTTTATTTTTATATAGCAACTTATTCTAACTTTCAAATTTCAAATTATTTTCATGTTTGCATGTCAGCTTAAATTTAAACTTAATTTATACTAAATGAGTAAAAAAGATTGAAGCAACGAACGGTATTCGATGGTGCATCGATTAAATATTGGAATGTTTCTGGAACACATGACAAAAGCGCCAAGTAAAGAAATAACATGCTATAATTTGCTCTCCAAACGCTTATTCTCCACTCCTCTAAAATTCCTCATTCATATTACTGTTGATAAAATAGTTGAATTATAAATAACTCCAAAAAAAATTCTGCTATAAAGGAGGAATTGATAATTCCAGTGAAATTTCATTAATCGTTTCATTGATAGATCATTTTTAACTTGTTTTTTTTAACTAAAAAAAAAAAACAACAATTGATCAACTTGTTGAATTAAATTGAAATTTAGGATAATAAAGCTGTAATAACAATTTGCTTGCATACATATCTTTGATTCAGATCAGTTAATCATAAATTTCGAAACTTTTCGGTCAAAGATTAAGGTATGATGCAAAACGTGATCGATTAATGTGAACGATCCGATGAGTGGAAATTGGGAATCATCATCTGTAACCAAGCAAGTTGCATTATTCAAATGCGTTCTGTCTATGCCTGTCTGTTCGTTTGTCTGTCTGTCTGTCTGTCTGTCTGTCCGTCGATCCATACAAATCGATCTGCCTAATGTTTGTTTGCATGTTTAAGCAAAAGGTTCAATGAAAATCAGTTTGTTTTTGAGTATCCACTGATAAACTATCAGATTGATTGTCAATCATCAATTCTATTTATTATCGCATGCTTGGATGAATCAGCAAATCTTCTTATTTTAAGTTCAGGAATTTATTTTTTTTTCGGATGAGAATTGGAAAGTTTGTGATGATTTTTTTCAATAAAAATTTTTTAATCTATACTGAAGTATTGTAGTAATTATGCTAGCAAACGGAATGTTTGCATAGTTTTTCGGAAATTTAAGCAATGATAAAAACAAAGAAGAATGGTTGAGTCATTTAGTCTACATATAAAACAATGTTGATATTTTTTGGTTAATTTAAATTAAATTTCCTGAATAAATTGTGAGCAAAAGGCCTAATTTTTAAATTGAATTCTAAATATATTATTTTGGGCGTACTATCTGAATAAGTTAAGCCTCAAAATAAAGCACTAATAAAACAAATTTGTACTAGGACAATTAATAATTATTCAAACCGAGTTCAATTCAAAAAATGTTTCTAAATTATCATAAAGTTATTTGCTTAACAAGATAATTAAGATTTACCTAAACGAGTTCAAATTCAATGAATTCCAAATGTTTCACTTTATTAAAGGTCAAAAATTCTTCAAGATGTTTTTAAAAAAGTTTTTTTTTTTTTTGGCTTTATCTCATTTCATCTGTTGAAAAAGCAAACAAGAAAAAATTTCGGTTAGTTTTACACAGACAATTTGCATTAAACCAAAAATTACTAATAAATTTCCATTCGATTAATATATTTTGTTTGTTGAAATTTTATCAAAATTTTTTTTTCTTTCCTAAAATATACAAACGAAATTGATTGCAACGGAAATGCAAATGTCATTTGTAAATGGCTTACATCGACAATTTGTTAGCTAAAAGATGCAAAGAAAGAGGAGGAAAAAATCACAAACTACGAAATTTCGTTCAAAGTTCAAATTTTCGTGACCACTTATTTCTGATAATTTAGTTATAAATATATGTACATGTGTATGTGTATGTCTGTGTGTGTGTATGTGTGTGTATGTGTATTAGTGATAAATTATACAATAATATAGCTGAAAAACATACTATACTGTTTATTTGCATATTTTATTTTGATTCTTATGAGCCTATAAAAGTTAAAAGTTTACACCATGATTCACTGCTTCTTTAACTTAATCACACAATATACGTCCCTGTTCAACTAACGTCAGGTGTTCCCTTAATTACGATATTACACAGCTGCCAGAAGAAGAAGAAGAAGAAGAAGAAGTGAATAATAAGTTAACAACTATCATTATATTTCAGCTCGAACTTAAAAGTTGATATTTCAATTGTTCATTAGGAGCTTTTTGACTAAAATTCTAAAATTAATATTCTACTATTAAAAAATCCATTCCGAGTAAAAATGATTGTAGAAGAAATGAAATTTTCTATGCCTGTTTTTCTCTAAAATTTCTTCCCGTCTTTAAAGTAATTTATGAATTTGTAAACGATTTATACAATAAAAAAATTTAAAAATGAAATTATAAATTGCAAAATTTTTCAAATAGTATATTAGAGAAATAAAAAGCAGAAATATGTTTGAAAAAGATTTTTTTTCCTTTTTATTATCGTGCAATTTTTTTTTCCTTTTTGTTTGCATTACATTCCGAAGAAATTATCAAATCAGAAAGGTTTGTTTATAAATTTTGTGATATATTTGCAAGCCAAAATGCATTTCAAATTTTTTCAGACCGCTTAAATAGCCATTAAATATAATGATGTCGTGAAGGTTGAATTGAAATTTAAAAATTTAATGTGAAATTTATTAATTATATATGGTGAAAACATTACGTAATCAATCTGTTAATCACATCGTTTTCTTTTCTCCTGATCTACTAAGTTTTTAAGAGATGTTTATCAAAATATATGAATAATGAATAAATTAGATAATATTATTTGAAATAAATTTATCGGAAATTTGAACTATCAAATCATTAATATTTCACCCAATATAATTTTGCAACCTTTCTGTATTGCACTAAAATTTTTGAAAAATACTGTTAACTAATTAAATTGATACATTCACTAATTAAATTATTAGATATAACAAGACAAGTTAAATTTTAGATTAGTTGAAGCCTTTCAAGAATGTTTCTCAATGATA